TTTAGTGTTAGGGTTGGCGATGTTTGTTCTTTAGCTGTTTTTTGGGTGGAATTCTGTTGGTCTTTTTGAGTGGTTGGGGTGTAGATTTCCGGTTGCGTTTTCCTTTTGATGGTTTGTGCTTTAGTGATAGGGTTGGCGATGTTAATTAGTGTTAATTAGGGTGTGATGTTAATTACAGTTAATTAGGGTGTGACGTTGCAGGCTAATGGGTGCTCAGCCACGTTGGGGTTAAGCCAGTCCGAAGAGCCTGGCTCATCCCTGTGGGCCATGGTTATTGATGTGAGAGACGCTGGGCCCGTTTCCCAGCCTGTGATGATATGATGTACTCCCTTTTTTTGGAAAAAAAAAGAAAGTTTTTCAGTTTATTTTTACGCATAACGTAGTTTTTTTTTTAAACATTTTCCTTGTGTTTTTTTTTTGAAGGGACACCTTCCTTAGCTCTTGCCCAGCCGGCTGAGCCGGGTGGCCCAGGCAGACCCAAGTGGCCCCCGGTTTGTAGCCCAGGTTAATACATAATAATAGCGTTAACAACTTAGTAGTTACTAGTAAGTGTTTATCTGCCTACCTACCTTTTTGATGATCACAGGAGAATTCCCGATCGTGTCTATGTTGGTTATGGGTCCCATGCTTTCAGGATAATACTTCCGCACTATGCCTGCAAAGGAAAGCGAAGAAAAAAATTCCCAAAAATTTGAAAAAGAAAGAGAGAAAAAGGAGAAAAGCCAAGCAAAGAGCAGAGCCAGGGGTCTTTAGCAAATTATTTATCCCAATGCCGTTTAGCCACCGCACCTCAGAAATGGCAAAAATTGTCCTACGAGAACTGAGATTTCAGTAAAAAAAAAAAAAAAAAAAGAGCTCAGATTTCAGGACACAGCAGCCCAGACTTGGCTATTTTCTGTTCCTAGATCTTTCTCAGTCGCTGCACCGAAGCTGCATTCGGTCAACTGTGACAGAAGTCCTCATGTGATTATGCCTTTGCTGGCAGATAGTGTATAGTACCTTGACTTCTTTAAACTTCTTTTATACCTACCACTGCCTCTCCTTCCCTCAGAATTCCCTCCCCCACTCTTCCCCCCCCCCTCCCCCCCCAAAAAAAAACAAAAAAAGTGAGGTCCTTATGATCCTGGCTCCATATCCATTCTGGGGAACATCTGTCCCGTTCCTATTCCCCCAGCAAGTCAGATATACAACAAGAACTATACGACAAGAACACCCTCATGCTTCCTTCCGTTTGGCCGAAGGAACCCCTGATTGGCCGAAGGACCCCTGGTCAGCATTGATTGCTCCAGCTGACTGGGGAATTGACTGTCAGCTTTCCTTCCCTCTACCTTTCCTCTCAAGTGTGTGTTGATTGCCGTGTCCGCCGTGCGGTGTTGTGTGTGTGCTGTGGGTTCATGGACGCTACAGCCCTGGGGTTGGGGTGGATATCAAGACCGGTATGGATCCAGGTTTTATAACACCTCCAAGGGTTGTAGTGGTTACGACACGTCGTTCCTGTGGCTGAGGGTGCCGGTTCGAGGCTGTGCGTGCACGGCGGGGCCTGATGCCCTAAAAGCATGTTGATCAGTGTCTTCTTTACCAAAAAAAAAAAACTGCCAAATTTAAAGGGAAACCAAGAAAGGATTAAGAGGTAAAAGGAATGCAAAGGCCCTCAGAATTCCTTTCATTCATCCTCCACCAAATCTGAGATGATATGGCCTATACAGCCCTCGGGGGCGCCTTCGCAGCCGTCAGGGAAGCTCCACCAGCTATATCTTTCCCAGCATGATGATAGAATGAAGATGCACCAGCCCTACGGCTGCTCGCAGTAAGGGGGCTCATTCGGAGAATGTCGGCATTGGTTCTTGTTCATTCATTCATTTATTATTGTATTAATCGTTAATAAGACGAGGATACAGTTATGTGAGGGCTGATGATGAAGCCAAGAGGAGGAGGCAGGTGGCATCGGTTCAATCTTGCATTCATCTTTTTTCTTCCTCTTATTCTTCTTCTTACTCTTCGTCTTCCTTCTTAATTGAAAGGACGACGACCTTGAGATATCATCATTGAACTGACCGGCCCCAGGTAATTCAGAATGATTTTATTCTGGTCATCTGATTGTATCTGGATGCGAGCTTGGGTCTGTATTTCAACAGTTTGTGTACCAACTGAGCTATACCCATTGGAGTCTTCTTCTTCTGCTTCTTCTTCTTCCTTCTTCTTCTTCTTCGTCTTCTTCCTCTTCTTCTTTGTCCTCTTCTTCTTTGTCCTCTTCTTCGTCACCCTCTTCTTCGTCCTCCTCTCCTTCGTCCTCTTCATCTTTGTGCTCTTCTTCTTTCTCCTCCTCTTCTTCTTCTTCCTCCTCCTCTTCTTCCTCCTCGTCCTCTTCTTCCTCCTCTTCTTCCTCTTCTTCTTCGTCTTCTTCTTCTTCTTCTTCTTCTTCTTCTTCTTCTTCTTCTTCTTCTTCTTCCTCTTCTTCTTCTTCTTCTTCTTCTTCTTCTCACCTCATCTAAACCAACTTCTTCAGTTTTGCGTCTCATGACTGACATGACACATGGCACTGTCTCAAATTGGAGTCTGGCCTTATCAACGGAGCAGAATCATCGCAGATCGTATATGTCCGCCAAATTCGCCAATAGAGTGCTGGTTTGAGTCTGCACTAACATCCTTACAACATCCCAAAAAAAAAAAAAAAAAAAGAAACAACCTCAACACTCTGTCATCTCCTATATTTGGATTTTGGAAACGCAACTGAAGTAACTGTTACTGAACTAAATTTTCCACCATGAGTTGTGCAACTTCACTATTGTTGTCATTTTATTATTTCATAATGAATTAATAATTCTATTTTGCCTCCAAATAGGCGTCTGACATTCTCATGTCCTGCCAGCCAAGAAAATTGGAGTACTGGCTTTGACACTTCAACTTTGAAGCAATGCCGATGAGTGATCACCTGAGCGCAGACTCTATTAAACATGCACGAGCCACAAACAAGGGGAGGAGGGCGAACAAAGCATCAAGGAGAGGAACGGAAAAGACTAGAAGGGTTAAAGCGAGAGACAGATGTGGGAACAGGAAGTCGAACAGAGCACAAAAACAGGGGGAGAAAGGAGAAGGAAAAATGGAGTAGACTCAGTAGAGCTACAGAAAAGCAGTACAAGGGATGACCAGATGATGGACAAGCACGCCGGCAATGAAACCACAAGCAGTGTCACGGAGCGAGCACAGAGAGAGAGAGAGAGAGAGAGAGAGAGAGAGAGAGAGAGAGAGAGAGAGAGAGAGAGAGAGAGAGAGAGAGAGAGAGAGAGAGAGAGANGAGAGAGAGAGAGAGAGAGAGAGAGAGAGAGAGAGAGAGAGAGAGAGAGAGAGAGAGAGAGAGAGAGAGAGAAGGTGCACATGCTTTGGGGTCAGGCAGACAGCAAAGGATGGACAGACGGACGCATGAACGGACAGAGAGGCAGACAGGGGAACAGGGAAACGGAGAGACAGACAGACGGATTGCAGGATGGATGGATGAATGGACGGACAGACAGATGGATGGATGGACGATGGGCGGACCAATAGCCGACAAAACGACAGACCAACAAACTGAACTACTGTCCGACAGACCGACCGACCTGCAATAAATCGCAGTATCCCAGTGGGACTGTACACTAACTGTGCTTGCTGTTTCCTTGGTTTAGGCCTTGCGCAACTTGATCCCGTGACCTGTATTTGGTACGTTTGGTTTGTTATCTTCGAGCCCTACTGGGCTTGATCCTTAGACCTGTAGCTCGTAGTCTCTATTTGGCAGTGTTAGACCCTTAGGCTTTACTGTTTTGTCGTTTTCTGCAGTTGCTGAAGTCAACCCGGGACTCGATCCCATGACCTGTAATGTGTTTGTGGTGTTTGACTGTTTTTTAGCCTTATTGGGCTTGAACCTGTCGCCACTACTTGCTAGTAGTCTCTACTTTGTAGTCTTAGGCCTTTCAGCCTTGTTGTTTTGTCGTTTTCTGCCCTTCTGGAAACTGGTAGGCCCCTAGGTCTTTCTTGTGTGTGTCCTAGCCTTTGGTCCCCTTAGTCTACGTGTCCATCTAGATGCATGTAGGTAGATCTTGACTGTTTGGCAACTTTGTCCATAGATGTTTGCTGTTTGGACAGTCAGAAGATAGGTCTGTAGGTGGCTCCTGTGTTGTAGGTCTAGGGAAGTCGGGTAGAAGTAGGCAGAGGCAGAGGAATTTAGGGTTCTTTGGTTGCTTTTTTTCAGTCTTGGTGGAGGTTGCGTTGCTTCCCTGCTGCGCTATTGAGGACATGTATGCAGCGCATCTTCTCCACATGCCGCTGGCCGCCATAGCTGGGGCCGGCCAGCTCCGTTGGTGACAGCGCTGGGCTCGGCGCGGAAGTGCTGATGAGCGCTTCCTCATATTCGTGTGCTTGTTGGGGTTTGGTCAGCTGCCACCGAAGCTGCACTTTCAGTGGTTCTTCTTCGACGTGGCAGATCTTCATCTTCATCGAGTTGCTGTTCTTCTTCATCATCCTGGGAGCTGTGCTCCCCTGCTGAGTGGACACTTCATCTGCAGTGGGCTTCTTGAGTGGTGCAGAGAGGGGTGTTGGATTTAGGAGGGTGTATGGAGATTGGCAGGCTTGATAGGTTGGGTGCTTGCAAGCATCATAGCTAGAGCTTGAGGAAGAGGGAGGAAAAAGGAGACTCCCGGATACTTCGATGAAACTTCGTATGTAATTGGTCCGTGGGTGTTGATAACGTGGTTGGGATCCTCGGAAATTCGTGCTGTTGATTGACTTGGGGAGAGACGGTAATTAGAATAGATTTTCAGTTTAATTCTATTTTCGCAATTTTTTCGATATTCGTGTGCTTCCGCTGTGTATTCTTATCATGCGGTGTGGTGTGGATTGCTCCCTCCAAAGGTCACTTGTCATTGCACGTGTATGGGAACCTGTGGATACCATGTTGGATATCGTTTCAATAAGGCACATAACAGACCAAACGACAGGCCGACAGAGACAGAGACAAAGTCAGAGACAGAGACAGAGACAGAGACAGAGACAGAGACAGAGACAGAGACAGAGACAGAGACAGAGACAGAGACAGAGACAGAGACAGAGACAGACAGGCAGGCAGGCAGACAGATACTGAGATGGACAGACGGATCGGCAGACAGACAGACAGACAGACAGACAGACAGACAGACAGACAGATAGAGACAGTGTCAGACAGAGGGGGAGAATTCAGCAAACCTCATTCGTACGAAGACACCAGCTGATTGTTGTGATGGTGACCTGGCACATCTTGGTGGTTCTGTACCTTCAAATTTCTTTGGCTCGATGTAGAAAAAGCTGAAGGCTGCAGGTAGTGTCTCCGATGCCAGATTGGGCAAAGGCTTGACGAATATGTGGTCAGGTTCACCCATAAGGACGTATCTGCAATCATCAAGTTCGATTCACAGTAAGTACGCAACAATCAGGAGGCAAGGGATGATGGGCACACCCAAGGTCGTGCTGTTTTCTGAAAGTGCTCACAATCAATTTGGGGTTCGATCGGAAGATCTGCGGGAGTCGTGAGGTAGTGTTCTCAATGGCATTCATTGACAGAGGTGGGCTGCCAACTGTCAATGGGAGAAGCTATAGTAAAAAAAAAAAAAAAAAGAAAGTTAATACAGTTGTAGACTTGTAGACTTGTAGTACTATAGTCTATAGGTAATGGCTTACACCATGCAGTGTCGCAGCCAGGTTTCTGAAAGGATTCAGGAATCTCAGTACCCCTCGTTCAGACCGAGTCCCAGGTCCTACCTTCTTCCCCCGAATACAACGTACGACGGTCATTATTGCTGTATTTAGTCTGAAAGATGCCCCAAATGCATACATCTGTTATTATTCAGGGGAAGAAGGTAGTCCTGAGTTCAGTTCCCAGTCACGAGTACCATGAAACATTTCAATTTAAGATATTGGAGGATATTGACGAATGAAAGTACGTGCATCCGCTCGAAAAGTATGTGAACATTGTAGACTTATTAGAAGACGAAGAAAAGTGATGATAATATGTTCTAATCCAAAACATAAACAAAGACAAGGGTAATTCATTGATGAATTAGTAATTACTAATTCATCTTTTATCCAGTCCCAAGTCCCAGATCGTAGTCCCAAGTCCCATTCCATGTTCCATTGGTGGTTCCCGCCACTTGTACAATATTCACTCACGAACACTCGAGGAGAGTAGTTTTCGTTTGTACCATGATTGCAGAGGCCTGGACAGCCTACAGTCTTCACCCGAATAGAACACCCCCCGGTCAATAAAGGCTACCGGCTTCACCCAACTAGAACGCCCGGTCATTATACAGCCAAATTGGGCCAAGTTTTTTTTTTTTTTTTTTTTTTTTTTTGCGGTCCAGATACAGCGATAATGACTGGTCATTCTATTCGGGTAAAGACGGTAGAAAGTCCCTGGTAGATATCAGTTATCGGCTGGTAGATCGTGGTAGAAAGTCCCTGGTAGATAACAGTTATCGGCTGGAAGATCGTGGTACTAGAAAGTCCCCGGTAGATAACAGCTATTGGCTGGTAGATTGCGTTAGAAAGTCCCTGTTAGATAACAGTTTTTCGGCTGGTAGATCGTGGTAGAAAGTCCCTGGTAGATAACAGTTATCGGCTGGAAGATCGCGGTAGAAAGTCCCCGGTAGATAACAGTTATCCGCTGAAGCGTATCTTCAGAAGGCACCACAAACTTCAGCCAAGATCACAAGAGTTGTTAGGCCAGGACCTGGTGTCAATCAATCCGCCCCAAAGCACGCGGCCACTGTTTCCTAAATGGGCAAGGCCACTATCCAGGTGGTGGTAAGAGAACCTACCCGATTATGGCCTTGCTCTCGGGATGGCTCCAGTCTCTCGGTGGGGAGCTACACCTGCTAGAAACTGGGTCGAGCATGACATTTGCAATGCATGGGCTTAAACCGCCAGAACACAGCCCCAGCCTTGCTGAAATGCAACTCGTTGCCTGCGAAAGAGGCTCGGCCTACCGGACCAAAATGGCTGGCAGCGCCAGCCAAAAAAGAAAGAAAGTGCTCCGCTGGCGGTTCGTAAAAGCCTGGCGCGCAGTAAGCAGCCTCCAGGCCCGAGTGTACTGGTGGTTTAACTGGCAGTAAATCCTTCTCCTTCTCTTCCAGAGGCAGTCAATGCTGATAGGATTCCCCGGGCCATAACGTGGGGAAGCGTGGCATACACTTGTACACTTGTATTTCATTATGACTTGCCGGTGGAAAAGGAATCGGACTGCAGAACTTTTTTCAAAAAACAAAACAATGTTGTTGATGAGGATATATCGGAGCTGCAATTGCACCACTGGCACACAATGCTGAGGCCTTGTATCACCTCTCTGCCTACGGGTTGTGCGCTATACACGAGAACTGACACGAAACTGAGACTCTGCGGAGACAGAGATGATTGCTCTCCATGCAAAGGCGGAATGCGGTATAGACTGTTTTTCTTCCATCTCCTCTTGGTGCGGTGATCACGACCGCTCTGGCTCTGTATCCACCCGTTGTCTTCGCCTTCTCCTTGGAGCCTCAGTTTCCATCAGATACTGTAGTAATTGCAGCAGGGCTTTGCTTCGCCGACAAGCCTTACCGCGGTTTTCGGCAAAATCTATTCAAATTCTCAATGCTGACAATTCTGACGTCAATATGGTGGGCAAGGTGTTCTTCTGAGCTTACACCACCACTACCTACCGCATTTTTCGTACCCCCCGGCCTCGAATGAATATGGACCAGAGGGGCAGGACGATTCGGCTTCCGCGTTAACGGCCGGCCCAACCGGTAAGTAGTTCACCTTTGGCTTCCTACAAGGAAAACCAGAAATAGCAGAACTTGCCGCAGAAGCAATGAAAACGAACACTCCGTCAGCATGGACGCAACTGAGAAATGAGATCCGAAATGAGCAATATACAGCAAGATCAGTTCGAACTTCGACGCAATCTCCTCCTTCCAGTCAAGCACTACAACAACAACAACATTACCTGATGGAAGCTGAGCCTGCAGGGACAAGGCGACGGCAACAGGTGGATCACAGACTGACTGAGAGCAGTGGTGGTCAACACACTAAGTGGAGATGGATCTGCAGCTTTTAGCCTTTGCATGGAGAGAAGCGGTGGTTAACCGAGGCCCCAATTTTCAGAGATTTGTCATGCAATTTATAAAAAAAACAAAGCCCTTTTTAATCAAACCCTAATTTCAGTTTTGGGCCCGTTAGTCAGGGGCTGAATCTGGGGGGTCCCCGTTAAGCAGTGGTGATGAAGAGCAACTCATCTTTTACCCCGCACAGTCTGAGGACTCTGAGCTTAGTGTCAGTTCTCATATATGGCACGCAAGCCCCCCCGGCGGCAAAGAGACGATACAAGGCCTCTCCGATCTATCCTCGTCAACAACATTATTGTACATGGGACACCGGACCGAGGTTTCCAGCAGGTGCAGCTCCCCACCATCTGGGGTAGACCGCAGCCATCCCCAGATGGTGGCCTTGCCCAGTAATGTTTTACAGTTTTAGGGAAAGAAGGAGCCAACTAGTACGTCTTGCACGGAAACGAGTTTCAAATATTAGGCAAAGAAAACACATACGGGCATGCCAATCACTCGCCACGTTCGAAAAGGCAATAAAGGAGGCACGATAGTTTGTAATGAGTGCGACTGTTGCGGATGGCCTGAGTTCAAAAACCACAAAATAAAAAGGCTATTTTTTGCGTTCCTTGCACATTCCAAACTGCTGCGGCGACAAAACTGTTATTTAGTGCTTTTTTTTTTGCATATGCGAAACTAAAACCACCCTGCAGGGGAAGGTGTTTCAAAGAATTTAAAAAGAATAAAAAGTTGCCAAAGTGTACGACAGGACTGCAGAATGACTTCCCAGGGTCTACCAGACAGGAATGATGACCAGATTCAGATGAAAAATGACAGTTGAGTATGCACTTACTCTTCTGGAATGTGGGCCTGACTTATCCATTGCACAAATGCCCAAGGCCTGTTCAGGACAACATACCCCTAGAAACGGACGAGAAAACCCAAAATTAGGAAACTTAAGCTGCATGCATCAGAATTGTCATCATCATCATCATCATCATCATCATCATCATCATCATCATCATCATCATTATCATCATCATCATCATCATCATCATCGACAACAACAACAACAACAACAACAAACGCAGCTGCAGCAGTACCACTACCACTTTCTTGGTCTCGTGCCTACGTCAGTTTTCATTACCACAACCAGAATAATGCCACATTTCTTCCATCTTTTTTGCAAGATCTTGGCATGTAGCACCTGATGTTGAAGCCTTGACCCCAATCTTCAATTTCTGCTTTTTTTGGGTCAGCAACCCTCGGAATCACGTGTCCGGTTGGTTATCATATAGGGCCTTGCACCGCTATTCTCCCACATGCACGAAAGACAAAAAAAAAAAGTCAGTGAGTCTTCCCATTTTCTAGTGTAAGATTCATTCGCATTCGGCACATTTGGTGAGTAGTGGAGAGAGGGCCATAGTATGGTAGTGATCCCGCACTTCCGGAACAATATATGGAAAGCTCTGGCGTTCTTTTTTGCTTGGGTCCAGTATCCGCGGGTCCAGTGTCTGGATACCATGCCCCACATTCCGGCCCGGATTGGAGGGCTGCGTGTAGGGGTCCAATCTTGTTTTCTGCAGCCTCGGGCGTTCTTTTGTGCTCCCGCCGCCTTGCAAAAATATGCCTCCTTTTTTTTTTTTTTTTTTTTTTTTTTTTGGAGAAACATAGCACTTTTCATTCCAAAGAGATCACCGGGGCCCGGGAACACACCCCTACATATCAACCCGGTACACAACTGCTGAGGCCAATACTCAGCTTAGGCTACTGGAAACCGGGTCCAGTGTCCCTTAAAGGAATCTCCAAAAAAGACCAAAGAAAAGAGTTGTAAAACAAATCTATGACAATATAATGTCCTTCCTACACAGCAGAGCACCGGCATGCTTCTAAAATCGAAACACTACTGGCTCCAAACAGCGGGCAGTAAACTGCAGACCTCGAAAATGCCCCAAGGCAATTCACGAAAATTTGCAAATAACCCTAAAATTATTCCAAAACCAACTAAGTTCTTAGATACTATTCAAATCTAAAATCCCTACCAAATACCTACTAATTTAACCATAACCCAGATTAGAACTCAACTAATTACTAGTATCTAAAGACAATAAGCCCTTAAGGACAACCGAAACAGCAGCCACATATAGAAAGTCCAAGAAAATTCCCAAAAAGAAGGAAGGATATGAATGACCGCACCTAAAAGGAGGGAAGAAAACTAACGAGAATTTTTTACAAGTGGCACAAAGTCGAGCGTGGAACACTCCCCTCACCACTCAAGGCATGGGTGACTCTGTGACACCCTCCCTATTCTGAAGGTCAGCCATTCCTCCAAACGCGATTAAGACTGGGAATTAGTTTCCTACTGCGCCCGGGCGACGTTCCCACCGCCACTAGTAAGCCTCCCACTCCCACTAATGGTGCCGCCACCCTGAGGGCTTCGGAGCTGCACAGGCCTAGCAAGGAACACATATCTTTATCATATTAATTTCCCAGATACTACCGTAAGTATTTCAGTGGTAAATTATGCGCAGGAATTCCCAAAAAGACCAAGGGTCGAGCGTAGAACACTCCCCGTACCACTCAAGGCTTGGGTGACCCAACAACACTATTTCCTAGACTTAAGAAACAACCACTTTTATGAAATAAACTGCGATGTGTCCTAGTAGGCAAAATACCCTGAGACAGTCACCAACAACAGGAAAAGTCCCAAGAACTTACCACATGTAGAAACCCAAACAAACTTCGAAAGACATATTAATTTCCCAGATACTGCTGAAGGTATTTCATCGGTAAATTATGCGCAGGAATTCCAAGATGACCAAGGGTCAAGCGTAGAACACTCCCCGTACCACGCAAGGCTTGGGTGACCCTACAACGCTGTTTCCTGGGCTTAAAGAACAACCACTTTTACACAATAAACTACGATATGTCTAATAAGCAGGCTACACTGAGCACCGACCACAGAAAGGATCCCAGGAGCTTACCGCATGTAAAACCCAAACAGACTTCAAAAAATCTACACGATACCAATTAAGAAAAACAACACTGACAACAGAAACAATTCCAAAATTCAACTACGTAGCCAACTCTAAACTCCATAGGGCTTCGGGGCCCAGCAGAGAAATCATGTCTTCATCATATTAATTTCATGGAAACTGCCGTAGATATAAACATGGTAAATTTTACGCAGGATTCCAGGATAACCGTAGGTCGAGCGTTGAACACTCCCCGTACCACTCAAGGGTTGGGTGACCTATGGCAACCGGATCAAACGAAAACCCCGAACCTGAAACCAGTGAACAACGTACTGCCTTGCGACGAAGATAACCAATCGAGACTTGCTGCAGCCCTTCAGTATGCCGGAGCGCTGCCACCGCAGCCGCACGCTCTCCCACTGCGTCCAGATACGCCGCTCCGCTTTTAGTGAACAGGGCAGACAAGCTGTCGTGTCGTGAAGTGCAGCGCGCGGCCTTTAGGTGATGAAAAAGGAGCCCCCCCTTTCCAGCAGAAGGCTTGAGGGGAAGGCGGCTCCTCCGATATCAAGGTCTTGTAGGTGTGTAGGTTGGTATGAAGGTCCAGAGAGGAGCTGCCAGGATGCCATGGCCTAAGAGTGCAAAGGCACTCCCTACCCACTCAAGGGCTAGGCTACGCCAGGGCACTGTGGCCATAGCTCTCACACGGCTATGGTGCCTGGCAGGGTAGGTGCCATGTAGGAAAGATAGAACCCGAAGCTCACACGCCACACCTACACAGCCGCGACTAACGACGACCGGGCCGCCACCGCTGCTGCCGCCGCTGCGTTAACGCACACTTGCGCGGCCCCCCCTGCCTCCATTTTTTACCGGAGTTGTCCGCGAGTGTCTGGTATACAGACAGGGCCGACCATAGGCTCCTTTTTTTGTTTGTTTTCATTTCTTTTTCTAACCCATTTTTTCGTTTTTTTTTTTTTTTTAATAACATCAGGGACAGGCAACTACTGGTCAGGCTGTACGAGCGCCTGTCCAGTTGGAGCCTGCCCATTTAGATGACTCCATTCTATTGGTGGGGAGCTCCACCTGTTGGAAAACGGGTCCAAATTCCCCTGTACATGATGAAAAGTTGTGATGCCGAGAAACCATGAGAAGTGGGGGGGATGTGGGCCAGAAAGATCTGCCTCTTCACCCTTTTTTTTTTTTTTTTTTTTTTTTTTTTACAATCAGAGGCCATAGCGCACATGGCCCGCGGTCACGACCACGGGTGATACATAAATTACTCAGTACTGTTGGGATTACCTTGGGAGATGGCTATGGGTGCGCGAATACATTTCGATTCCAAACAGCTTATCCTTACACATACGAGAGGAAAGCCTCAGACTGTTCTGCTACGAGTTTTCACTCGATCGCCGAGAAAGAATCCAAGCCTCACCAACTCGAAATTCCGGATAGGAATAATCCAAGTCCCGAGTCAAGAAGAAGATTCTTCCAAAAGCAGTGACGTGGACCAATGTCCTTCTGAGGATGATGAATATAACGAACGAGATTACGCCGAACTATTAAATCATATGCCCACCGAGGAGGAATGGAATCAGTTGGTCGAGCTATTCGTTCACGAGGCTAAAGAGGAATTTTGGATGATTCCAACTACCACGCAAACGTTTGGTCTAAACACAGAAAGAAGCGAGCCTAACTCTGCTCTACTGTTATCTTTTCTCACACTAACAGAAACACAGGTTCCAGCAGCATCATTCTTTGGAGAACCTATTTTGCAGATTTTAGATATGACTGACCTCTTGGCACCCCCTAGTACTCTGTACGAGAGCGCACTTTCATTACGAGGAAGATATCAGCAGATGAATCAATACCTAGATCTCTTTGTCTCCCCACTCAGACCATTGCTCACGCCAGGCGCTATGATCGCATTAATTAGGTAAGCGATCGAAGCTCCGATCGATGATGCTCCCAACCTAATGCAGGAATGGCAAAACTAACTGGATTGGAAATCGCAGCAAGCACCACTGACCCCGAGACCGATGTCGAAGCTAAGGAAACTGAGATGATTAGCCTGGCTGAGTCACATATGTTCGCCACCGTTTTTTCGACCCGGACCAACAGCTCTATGTTCTCCGGCGTAGAGGGAAAACGACCAATAGGGCTTGATTGGATCGACATACGGCTTGACACCTTTGGCAACCGACCGATGATCACCTTGTCCGGTCACGTTCCCATAAAAAATTATGAATCCTTAATCGATGTGTTGTATGGATATGCTGTGGTATTGAGTCTGCACGATAACAATATTGGGAGGTCAAACGTGATTGAACACACGATCCTCACTGAGAATCATCCACCGATTAGCCGCACTCCCTATCCGTACTCTCCGACGCAACGACTTGCTGCATTCCAGAGAGTAAAGAAGTTTGAAGCTAATGGATGGATTGAGCCCGCCATCCGACCTTGGTCGTTCCCTGTGGTGATTGTACCCAAGAAAGCGGGAGGGATTCGTATATGCATTGATTACCGAAAATTGAATGACATCACAATTAAGGATGTGTATCCCCTCCCTCGGATTGATGAATTATTGGATACTATTGGGTGTGCTCGATTTTTCAATAAGTTTGATGTCCACCACGAATTCCACCATCTCCTCGTTCGAAAGGAAGATCGCCCAAAAACGGCCTTCGTTCTTTTCGAGGGAACTTGGCAATGGATTCAATGCCCGATAAGAATTTGAAATGCCCCAGCCATGTTTCAGCGCGCGGTGAATATGACTTTTCAGAACTTCGTGTGAAAAACGAGGCTGACACAGAGGATTATAAACTATTGTGTGATTGTAGATATGGATGATATCATGGACCTCCTGGTGTACTCAAGTACCTATGAGGGGAACGTGCAATACGTTGAGTGGACATTGCATGCACTAAAGGATGCTAGATTTAAG